TTTTTTTCTTAATAACAATAATAATTAATGATATTGTTCTCTACAGGTCATGGTGCAGATGTTAAATGTGTACATTGGCATCCACAAAAAAGTCTAGTCATCTCAGGAAGCAAAGATAATCAACAACCTGTGAAGCTTTGGGATCCAAAAAGTGGACAATCACTTGCTACTTTGCATGCACATAAATCAACAGTAATGGATATCAAGTGGAATGAGAATGGTAATTGGCTAGTGACGGCATCGCGAGATCATTTGCTTAAATTATTTGATCTCAGAAATCTCAATCAAGAAGTTCAAACTTTTCGTGGTCATAAAAAAGAGGCATCTAGTGTTGCATGGCATCCAAGTCATGAAGGACTTTTTTGCAGTGGCGGTAGCGATGGTGCAATACTCTTTTGGCATGTCGGGTATGTAAACATATTTGGAATTATCTATTTTTCATATATATATATATATTTATTATATTTCTTTTTTTAATATGTGTTATTTTTTATTTAACATTAGAGCTGACAAAGAAGTTGGTGCAATAGAACAAGCTCATGATAGTATAGTATGGACATTGGCTTGGCATCCATTGGGACATATTCTATGCTCTGGAAGTAATGATCATACTTCTAAATTTTGGACACGCAACAGACCCGGTGATCTTATGAGAGACAAATATAATCTTAATACATTACCTGCTGGAACAGCAGGAGTTGATGATCATGAAATAGGCAAGTTTATAATTAACATAATAAATGTGATTTCATATACTATAATTAAATATAGGAAATAAATAAATAAATATAATGATATTATAAGTTTTTTATTATTTTTTACAGCCGATGAAGCAGCGGTAATACCTGGCATGGGACCAGAAGATAGAATTAATGCTGATGGCGAATTAGAAGATAAGAGTGGAGAAATTCCTGGATTAGATTTAGATCATGCAGTGGACGAAGGAAAGAAATTTACGAATAAAAAGGTTCCATATAGTAAGCCAATACCTAGAAATTTCCAGGCCCAATGGAATGAAATGGAACCAGAAGATATAGAACAAGTAGAAGCCTTGAATGCTTTTGTAAATCAATTAATTGAAACAACGCCAGGAGCTGTACCGTTAAGCGAACTTACTCCTACTGCTATTATATTATATGGGAAAATGATAACTGTTGAAGGTAAAAATATTATCTCATAGTCAGATCAATTTTGTTGTATCTTATTGCTATTTTATAAATTAAGTTAATATTAATATTTAAATATAATTTTTTATTTGTTACAGCGGGATCAAAATTATCGGAAGCAATTGGTAAAGGAAATGAAGCCATAAATAAATTAGTATTTTCTGGTGAAATAGATGAATTGAGAGACGTCGTGGGTCCATTAAATAACGTTGACGAGACGGAAGATTATTTGCAAGATGAAGGAGAAATAGACTATTCTAAAGTTCCCGATATTGATCTACCTCCACCCTTACCTAGTTCGAAATTTGCACAAAATCCAGAATTACTTAAAACTTTAAATCGCGGCGGAAAACGAAAGTTCGACCAATTGATTGGTTGGAGTGATGGAGGAGCTAGTGATCGAACATCGAAAATTCATCAACCAGTATTTGGTGGTGTCATTTCGGAAGATGTACAATCAAGTGATGGAGACACTAGATTCAGTTCTGGTAAATCCAATGATAATGGTTCCTTCCAAGGTCAAGACGAAGATTTAAGAAGAGATTCAAGAAATATGCAACGAACGAGTGATGAAGATTTAAGATATAACGCAGCCAGTGGACCTGGTAGACCAGGATCTCGATCAGAATACGATGCAAGAAGCAATTATGGAGACAAAGATTTTAGGAATATTAATTCGCCAGGATTTATGTTAAAAAAATCATCTGAAAACGACTTATATGAAGATAAAGAACGAGATGGATCTCGTTGGGAAGATGACAAGGTTATGAGTAGTAGCTCTAGAAAAACAGATAGTAATTTTTCGAACAGTAATTTTGATAAACGGGAAAATATTCAATTAAATATTGGACCTGGAATGGGTAGTAATATGTCTCATATAGGAAATAATATGTCCCATTTACCAAATCATCATAACATGCAAAATATTAATCCTAATATGCCACTACCAATTCCAAATCTCGTTCAACATCCAAACATGTCTCAACATCCTGGTATGCAAAATAAAATGCCTCCTCAAGGAATGGATGGTCCAATGCCACCACACATGATGCATCATCCTGGTATGCATCCTGCTTTTGGTCCTAATGGACCACCGCCACCGGGAGGTTTCGGTCCCAATTTTAGACCTCCTAATGGGAATTTTGGTCCTAATCAACATTTCAGGCCAAATCCTATGCCACCGTTTGGTCCAAATCAAGGGCCACCTTTCAACAGTAATTTCCAAGGAACACCACCAAACTTTCGTGTACCCAATTCTGGACCACCCAACTTTGATCGTCCTGGATTCGGGCCAAATTTTCGTGGACAAAATGTCGGTGGTCAGAATCCGCCAAATCATTTCAATTCTAATTTCGGTAACTTTGGTTGTAACAAAAGTGGACCTAATCGTGGAATTAATCGTGGACCTAATGACAATAATATAGGAAGAAACGGATATAACAATCGTGGAAGAGTACGTGATAGTGATCAGTCAAGAGGTACGAGAGGAAGAGACAATTATTGAAAGGGTTAAATAATATGAAAAAAGTGTCTGCCCAAAACAATTATCAATGAATTACATTCTGCCTATGCGAACTGAAGGAACTGCACTGGTTGCATTGGTATTATTCAATATTATAATTTTGCCTAAATGGTGACGCGTCATAAGCAGTGCCGTGTAATATACTAATTCATGTTGGTTGCATTATAACGCCTTTTACAAAGATAATTAAAGCATTAATTGCTAATTTATGGATATGACTTTTATCGGTGAAAAGTGCATTTGCTTTATAAATACACTTTTTCTTTTTTTTTCTTTTAAATTCGAAGAATCACAGAATCGAAACTGTTGATTAAGTGAAAGTTTGTGGAAAAATTACAAATTATTGTTGAAGGTGAATAAACTTATGTACAGGATTATTGGTATTAAAAAGCATAATTTACGTTCATTTGATATATTATAGTTATTATTAACTAATATATGAAGAATATAAATTTATATTCTTATATATATATATAATATATATATTACGTAGTCGATATCAACAACAATATTATACGATAAAGTGACATATGAAACGTTACTATGAAGACATTCACTTTGGATTATAAATATGAATTATTATCGAAATCACTAAAAAAATAATAATTATATATTTGCCTGTAAATTATTAATAATCGGCAATTATGTGAGACGAAAACAATTTACTTATTCATTATTAATAATAAAATAGAGCAAGGCACAAGAACTTTTATTTGAAACATTGTGTTCCCATACTCATTTGTGCAAATAATGAGATGAGGATCTCAAACTTGACGATCATATAAAATAAAATAAAATAAAAATAAATAAAATAAACAGTTTAATAACGAATATTATAATATTTAGAAAAATATAATGATAATAAGCATTTAATTTTTTAAGTTTGTTAAAAGCATCAAACTAACAAATAATACCAGACTAATTAAAACAAGAACAACATTTTTCTGTACTTTGTTATAGATAGAAAAAAGAAAGATAGAACGAAAGAGAGAGAGAGAGAGAGAGAGAGAGAGAGAGAGAGAAGGAATATAATATAACTTACAAATTCGTAATTAAATTATTAGCATACATCACGAATAAATGATAAATTTAAGAGCTCTATTGAAGTAATAAAAATCTAAAACTATAATTTTTCCAAAATTTTTGAAATTTTATATATTGATGATCCCTGCACATTCGGAAATATCCCTTCTAATATATTTACGATATTACCGTCTATAATTTATATTATTGTTACTATTATTACTATTATAGTCCAGTCTTATTCATAGGTGGTCTGCTTTCTCTGAAAATCGAATGTATTAACAATAAGTTTCAGGGTAATTTATTGTTCTTGTTTGAGAAAGGACCATTATTAATCAGTTGATATGTTAAATCATTGAACTTAAAAATTTTTCTTTTTAAAGAAATAGAAGCTTACAAATAAGTTTACGATTCTAATTTCTAATTTAATCTAATTTACAGATAATATTTAACATTAAACTGTAATTAACAAAAAGAAGTAACATAAGAAAAAAAAAGTATTTCATTATTTGATGACGTTACAATTAATTTTAAATATTATTAAATATATTAAACGGGCGTGCGCGTGCGCACATTATTTACTATTTTTCGCTCAAAGTGATCTCAGCGATAGGTGCAGACAAAATATGAATTACAAGTGCAACAGGGAAGAAGTGCCCCCACTATGCACTTGTCATGCAAGTTATTTCCCCTACGATCACAATGGATGGGTAGAATACACGTGTTAGATTGAACTTGCACTTTTCAATCTTTCGTATTTGTTTTTTCTTTTAGTATATGATCTTATATTGATTCGTGAAGAAAAAAAGAGCATAGCGATACAATTTTAATTGATCTGTAAAAAACAAAATTTTCTTTATTTTATCTAACAATAAAATAATTATAATTAATACTTATATATTGTAATATATTATTTTAATAAAAATCAACATGCGAGTTATTTCAATTCCATGTTATGTTTGACGTTATAGAAATAATAATAATAATAATAATGTAAGATTTTTAATGATGTTATGGCCCAGAGGTGAGTTTTTGGCAAATTACAATTAATGAATACTAAAAGAGTTCTTGTATATTTTAATCTTTAAAATTTTTAGCTACACTATACGCACAGGTAAATAAAATGAATGATTATTGTAGATTAAATAATTATTTAAATTCGTATTTCTTATTTGATTAACGTGGTTATATTATGTAGTAATAGAATAAAATATTTTAAACTGCGTTCCTCTGTAATCGAAATAATCCATTAATTGATATTTAATAAATTTATGGTTTTACATATTTTAGTTAAATTTACATAATATTACAGCTCATTTTGTTACGTTTTGATGAAAGTATTAGAAAATTATATAAATTATTTTATATCGAACTGCGCATGCCCAGCAACGAAGCGTAACTACCGCCATCTGTACCTTTGGGTATCGTGATTATCAGTGGTATACGGCGTACACACCGAGTGAGTGCATTTCGAGTTGCATTAATTTTTTGTATGTATTATAAGTGAATGATATTATTTATACACAACCACGTTGACGATGTTTAATTTTAATGCGCGACAATATTTGGGATCGTTATATGCACGTTGCATATTTTTTTTGCCGGCGTTTCACTTATCTAGAAACCAAAAGGTTAGTTGACATCCTTTTTTTATAGGTTAGAATGATTGTATATTGAAAACCTAGAACATTATATAATAATGTTAATGTGTCAATAATCTTTAGTGTTTTCTATTTGAAAATAATAATTAAGTATAGGTTAAGTTATGAAAAGTTATGACAATAAACTTTGTTATATATTTTTCTAGATTTTTATCATTTGTTTGACTGGAGGTTCATTGTTGCTCGGTGGTTTGGCACAATTTTTAAAAAGAAGACGAAGACTTCCATTACCTCCTTCGAAAAGATCCATAAGGGATCTAAAACAAAGATATGCCAATGCTAAATCCAATTTTGGTAATATTTACGTATTCATAATAAAGCTTTATATAATCTATTTAGTTCCAATTTACAATCTAGATTCAATGTAATTAAGCTCTTTATTCGATGAAAAATAGATTTACATTTTATGATATTGTGTACAATTTGAAGCACATCGGTTTTTCTTATCATTGCAACATACTTCTAAATTAAATACTGTATACATTTTGTTGTCATAGATGCACTATCTCAAGTATCATGGGCTAGAAGAAGCGAAGCGAGTAGTAGGAGTCACATTAGTGAACGAGCATCAATAATCTCTCCTTTACCAGAAGGTACTCAGGGTGATGAAAGATTAACTCCACAGCAGTACGGTGTTTTAGGTAAGTCACTCATAACTAAGATTATACAATTAACTCTAATCGTTACAAATGAGTAAATTTTCTTAAAAAGTAATATATATGTACAGAATTCAATGTGTCATGCATGATATTATATTTTTAATATAACAAGTTATGTTTTTGGTTTACTTTATTTATGATATTTTACATATATTTTAAACGCAAAATTTTAACTATGTTAAACTTTATTTAAATTAAAGATATCAAAAGCAAATAAATAATAAAATTATCCAGAAAATAGGAGATAATCAACGTGCATAAGTGTATCATTTTGTCAATACATTTGAAGGGAATATTAATATATTCAGATATTTATTTATACATATATTGCATTGCATTTATATTTACATGATGATGTACAATGCAGCAGCTTATTCACAAATAAAATATTCGCTAAACATTGAAGTTGTTAAACTTACAGATTAATTTTTGGCATTATTAAAACCTCTGCCTCGCGTTGGAATCATATTTATTCATATTTGTTCTAGTATTTTAACATATAGATCCAGAGGAGTAGCTTCTTTGATAAATTCATTGTTTTTATGTCAATTATATATATGTGTGTCACTTATGCATAGCTTTTAATTGCTTTTTAAAGGATATTTTCTTCGAAGCATGTTTTTCAATTAATTTATTATTTATATATTTATATCATAATTTGCCCTTTTTCAATTTTTCAACTTAAAGAGGAATAATTATTTTTTTGTTGACAGTATAAGCATTGGTTTGCACTGTTTATAATATGTTCTTATATTTCTTTTCTTTTTTATCTCAGACACAGAATTTTGTAAAGCTCACAATACTACACATTCACTTTACAGCAAATTATTGCTTTCTATTGATTATTATTATTATTATTATTATTTTTATATTATTATTACTATTAATATTTTTATTAATATTATTAACTCATGGAATGCATATTATATTCCTGTACATCTGTACAGAAAATATCGCATGAATTCAGATAGAATTCACTGCGCTTCAGTGTTCATTTAACTTATAATATAAATAATATAATAATAATAATATAGTATTTTAAAGCTATTAATCTTGATAGAAAAAACTATAAACCGATAAATAAGCTGACTACAATAGTTTTCTTTTGCAACTATCGAGATACTGTATTCAAATGTTTATTAATAATATATATTAAATATTAATAAACATTTTGCGGATTATAATGTAGAATTCATATAAATAATCACGTCTCTTTCCTGTATATCTTTTTTTCGTTTTTTTTTCTTTCTTTCTTTTCAAAATTAACACACTGATTTTAAATAATTCCATGAATTCTTTACACTTTTTCAAAGGAACATTTCAGCCTTATCAATTACAATTATGCTCGTATTAATGAAAGTTTAATATGCTTTTGTTATTATTATTGGATTTTTTTTTATCTCCTCTGACTTTTTAAATATATATATATGTGTGTATGTGTGTGTTTGTGTGTGTATAATATTTTAGAAATTCATTAAGGATTATCGCTTGAAAATTGATTTTTTTAGCAGCTTACGCTTAGCGGTATCCCTTTTATCATCGAGCACTTATTTCATTACGTTTCTTTAAATGATAATAATTAAATCTTAGTTAATGATTATAAAAAAGACAATTCATCAGCTCGAAACATATAACTTAGAATTAAAAGAGTAAACTGATTCCAATAGAAAAAAAAATGTTAGTATCAGACTGAAATCTTCAAATCAAAATCGAACGAATCAAAATATTTGTAGCCCTTCACCTCTACTCTACGTTTTCTTATACCACTATCAATCTTTTTTTTTTATAAATATTACATTCTTCTAAAATTGTACCGTAATCTCAAAAATATATAATTAGCTTCATTAATTATTTGCGCTTATCCCATCCTCGAAAATTCAATTTATTCGTCATTCCGCATAAAGCGAGTTGTCCAATATAGCATTTTGCATCAGCAATAGCTAACAAGATTTCATTGAACATCCCTCTCGATGGAGACATTTATTATCTCAAAGCTTTTTTTTCTCTTTTCTTTTCTTTTCTTTTCTTTTCTTTTTTTAAGTCTTCTATAATTGTCTAACATTACTGTTCGCAAAGGCATGAAATAGTTGGATAGAAGATCGTTTCACAGCTTAATTTAAAAGAACAATGTACGTTATAGTTTTGCATTTGGTACGACATAGTTTATGTTAACAATTTTTTTTGTTTAATGTTAACACATTGTATTTATGTATGCGATTGCTTGTACTTGAGACATTTTTCTTTTTATTGTTGTGAAACTAGCTCATCAAACTATATTATTTTTCTTCCACTAGTTTTCGCGCGTGCGCGTATATACATATATATAT